ATATATATATATATTTGATGATAGCCATTATGACTAGGCTGTCATGAGTTCTCAGAGCATTTCCATGGGGGCTTTTTGCATGTATTTATTGACCACTATATTTCTTCTTTTGAGAACCCCTTTGTTGAGTAGACGATTGGGTTTTGGTGCTTAATTTTGCAGTTCTTGTGCCCTAGATGTTATTTTAGAGTTGGTCTTGTACAGTCAAGCCTCACCACAAGGACACTCAAACCCAGTGGTAGATTTCTCCAAGATTTTCTATGTTCCATGGGCAGGAAAAGTGTATAAACAGTATTTAAAGAAAAGTATTCTAAGTCCACGCCTTTTTCTCTGTCTACATTCAGTTCAGTCTTCAAAACCGCTTTGATAATGGAAACTGTTGTCAGGAGTGACGGCAACAAACAGACATGATCCCTAGCCATAGAGTGTACCTGCAGCTTTTAAAGCAGCTGGCCTTATCATATGTGTCCAGAGCCAGAGAATGTTATTCTGATTTACAGATTAACCAAGCCTCATGATTTCCATGGCATGGATCTGGTCTCTTAATTTTAGAACTTTGCTTAAGATACTGTGTTGTAGTGCTGGCAAAGCAGTAGTAGGTAGGGATATGGTGCATTTGGCAGAAAGGAAGATTCTTATATTCTCCACTTTCTACAGATCAGAATAATGTGTTTTCAAGAAAACAAGTGGGCAGTGTTCTGATTATTTGAAGGTTTAAAAGTAATTTGTTCCTATGTGTTTCTCAAACACGTGGTAGTTTATATAAAGTTATACAATTAAATGAGCTCAGGGGTAAAGGTAAAGGCACCAGGCCCTCAAAAGAAAAGATGGCAAGGACTTTGGAACAATAGCAAATATGGTAAGCATGTTGTGGTATCCTTTGTAGGGCTGAAGACAAGGACTTAAGGTTTGGTCGGCAGTTCCTAGCAACAAAAGCAAAAAGGGAATTCAAGTACAAGGTCCCCAGTGTTGGGGAGATGAACATTTAAGATAAAAGACAAGCTCCAGCTGCCACTGGGGCCCAAGGGAAGAATTGTATCTGGTTTTTTTTTTTTTTAGAAAAAGAACTGAACTGAATGGTTACAGAGTCTTGAACAATGGTACATTCAGTCAAAGCAGGTCTGCTCTGGCAAGATCAATGCCATTCAAGCCAGAGAGCTTGTAAGTATTGAGGTTTTCAGTTCCTGGGACTGGGTCTAGCTGTTTCTCATTGTTTTGTTCCCTTGGACAAGCAGTTGAAAATCAGTTGGAAATGCTGCAACCTTGTTTTTAGAAGAGACCCAACTTAAAGTCCACACAGAGGACCTATAACAGACTAGTTTGTGTGACATTCTCTGAAACCTAATAGCAAACCAA